ACGGGGCGGCGTGGCGCCCGCCGGCCGACCTGTCGGCGCTGTCGGTGGAGGAGGTGTCGCGGTGCCTGCGGTTCATCGGGCTGTCCGAGGACGTGGTGAGCTTCTTCGCGCGGGAGCGCATCGACGGCAGCATCTTCGTGCAGCTCACCGAGGAGATCCTGGCCGACGACTTCAAGCTCACCAAGCTCCAGGTCAAGAAGATCATGCAGTTCATCAAGGGCTGGCGGCCCAAGATCTAGCCGGACGCCGGGGTCCCCTGCCAGTCAGTCGGGGCCCGTAGGGATGGACCGGACCTGTGAGCCTCTGGGCTGCGCCGTGGCCCGAGGGCAAAGGGGCAGGGGGGTATTAGACCCCCTCCACCCACAGCGGTGGCCCCACGGCTGGGGCTCCCTGCCCGAGTGGGACGCCGTGTGCACGGGGCTCAGCCCATGTGGGGGGCAGGACGCTCCTGCCTCGGCTGCAGGGTGCCAGCCGCTCCCTGCCTGCCCCCAGTTTGGGGAAGGGGATTCTGGTTTAATGCCTTGTTGCCCGAGTTAAGGCAGGGGGAGCTCCTCCCTGATCCTGCTGGGGTGGTGCTTCCTTCACATTGCTCCCTCCTCCTTCCTGGTTAGCATCTCCCTCTCCTCTCCCAGGGACCCCCCTAAAGCTGCCCCTGAACCTGGGCCTGGCAGGGGGCTGGGGACTTGGGCTGGGTGCTGCACGTGGCACTGGGGCAAGAAACGCTGCTCTCGTGGTGCATGAAGCTGGTGGAGAGCTCCCGGGGCCCAGGACCTGTCTCCACAGCTGCCATGCTGCACACCCATGTCCCCCCAGCCCTGAGCGTGGCTGCCAGAGCCTAGCCCAGCAGGGACTAGGCCCAAGGAGGGTGAAGATGGAGATGGAGACGGTGGGTTGCAAGCCCTGGTCCAGGGCCAGGCTGGGGGCAGGTGTTTCAGTGGTTCACAACAGGGAAAGGTGCTCTGCACCAGCCCTGCAGCGATGCTGGCCATGGCCCCTCCCTGGGCCCCCCCCGAGGGCACACAGAGGTAGGCAAATGCATGGGAAGCCTCGGGAGCCTGCTGTGGCATGTGCCCCTTGCCTGGGAGACGGCTGGCAGAGCCCACCTCCCACCTGCACAGCCTGCAATACGGGAGAGGGTGTGTCTCCTTCTCAGCCTGGCAGAGAGGGGCATGCGTGGGCACCCGCCTGCCGTAGGGCACAGCCCCCTGCGCCCACCCAGTTCCCTCTGGTAATCAGGACTAAAGTGACCCCCAACTAACCCTGGCCCCGCTGGGCCTGACGATAATGCTGCGGGCCCTGCTCCCTTCCCTCCCCCTCGTCTAACCTGGGAGGGTGAGAGCAGCCGGGGCCTGGTGGTGCTGGGCAAGCCTGGGGCATGTTTCTACTGTTTTCACTTAATCCGCGTCGATTAGAGAAATAAACGACCGAGAAAGAGAGCCGGGGGCACCGTGCATGCAAGGAGCGGGTGGGAGGGTATAGCCCGTACCCAGGGCAGGGCGTGTGGACCCAGAGCAGCCCCCTGCCCAACGTCACTGGGGCTGGCCTCCACTGCTGCCCCAGGGACAGGCACCAACCCCCACCCCACAGCAGCCACCTGGGAGCAGGGATCCAGTGGGGCTGACACGGGCAGAGCCAGCAGCTCTGGCTCATAGGCACTGCCCCACCCCTGCACGTGCACAGGGAACTGGCCTCGAACGCTGCAGTGGAAGCTGTTCCCTGCACGGGTTGCGGCTGGCGCCCTCCGCCGCAGCTCCGCCACTGCTGCCAGGGGTTGGCGCTGCACTGCAACCTCAGGGGAGCTGCCTGGGACGCGGGAACTGCCTCTGCGGCCCTGACGCTGGAGACAGGCGGCATCTGAGATCAAAGGAGCTTCCTCCAGGCAGGCAGAGCCTGCGGCTCAAGGCCAAAGCAGCCAGCACAAGTGGGGCTGGTCAGCATGAGACGAGCCCTGCAAAGGGGGCTCAGGGAAAGCGAGATAGCCCCATCCCCAGCCCTGCCTGGTTCTGCCCTGCCACCCTGATCCAGGCAGCCCCACGGCAGGACGAGGGGGTGGGGGAAGGGGAGCTGCCTGGCAATTAGTGACAGGTGGGCAGAGATTTAAAGCCTTTTAGTTTGAATTAAGCTCTCCCCATGGGGGCCCCGTCTGGCCGGCGCAGGATGGATGGGCAATTACAGCAGGGCCCATCTGGCGGCCGAGCAGACAGCAGCGCCATGGCTCCTGCGGACAGATTGATCCATGCCAGAGGTGACCGAGGCAGGGAGGGGGCTTTGTTCAGCCGCCAGCAGCCTGGATGCACAGAGCAGCAGGCTGGCCTTGAGGTAGGGGAGCGCGGCCACCCCCAGCACCCACCCCGGCTGAGCACAGCCCCCTTGCACCCCGAGGCTACGCTGCTGGGCCAGGCGCGCATCACACAGACGGAGTCTGAGAAACCAAGAGCGTGGGGTTTATTGTTGAGCGGGTGCAGTGATGGGCAGAGACACGCAGGTGCTTGGGGCACGGGTGTCCTGGCTCCGCTGGTTGGATGGGCGGCTGCAACACATGGGACTCGGACGCTGGACACAAGGGAGGCTCTTTTGTGGCCCGCCACAAGGGGTGATGCCCAGCCTGGGGGCGGAAGGGGCCACGTGCCCATACTACCGTGGCTGCTAAGGCACTTGGAGGACTGCAGGCATCGAGGGTACCTGTGGCCCCTCCTGCTCTGCCCCCAGCGCTTGCGAGATCCACCTACAGCGAAGCCGCTGCCCTGCCCGGGCTCTGCAGCTCACGGGGACCGTCACTTGTGGAACTTCTTGCCTGGGTCTTTGGCGTGGTCCAGCAGCAGCTGGCAGGGGGTGAACTGGCTTCCATAGACGGCCTCGTACTTCCTCAGGCTGTCCACCAAGCGCCCGGCGCCATGTGCATCTGTGTAGCGGAAGGGACCTGCCAAGGGGACACGGGAGGGTGGCTCAGGAGAGCCCGGCTGGAGGGAGAGGCCTGCAGGGGCCTGGGAGGGTGGCTCTGACCATCAAGACCAAAAGGAGCCTCTAGCAGAGAGGGCACCCCACCCCGACCCCCGCCTTGCTGTTTGCTAGGGTCAGGCTGTGCCATGAGGCAGCTGGCAGCACTCCAGCCTGCGTGCGTGGGGACAGCAGATTTGGGCACCAAAGTGGCTGTAGAAGCTGCCACTACAGAGTCCCAGCTGCACTCAGGGCTACTAATGATCCCAATTGAGCCACTGATACACCCAGGATCCGCCTGCCCTGCTGGGCAGCATCTCTGCTGAAGGGGAGGAGGTGACCACTTCACTCTACACACCTGCAAGGCACAGCTGTGCCAGATCCCCGCCCCCATCCCCAGCTAAAGCTGTAGGCCTCCAAGGCCAGAGCTTCACGGGTGAAGGCAGGGGAGGCGGGGGGCAATGGTCGAATCTCGTAAGCAGAAGAAAAGCAAGGCTGGGCCACTGGCTGCTCTCCCTTGGCCAAGCTCAGAGTCGCACAGGACCCACCCCCTTCCATGAGGTTGAGGTACGACAAATGATCCGCTCCTGCTTTAGGCAGCTGGCTGCACACAACGTGGTGATGTACAGAACAGTCCCTTGGCCAGTCACACGGGCCGAGGCCCTGTGGAGATCCCAATTCCCCCAGAGCGAAGAAGTCTCCATGCTGGGCTCTAAAGCAGAGGTGAGAACCGGGCCCAGCTGCTAATAGGACTGAGATGCGAGTGCCCTGGCTGTGCTGTCTGCACTGTGAAGACCACACGGGGTTGGGGTCCAGCCAAGGTGATGGACATAACCCCTCTGAACTACCTGCCACTCACCACTCCCAGGAGCAGACCACAGGCCTGTCCAGCCCGGTGTCCTGACCCAGTATAGGGGCCAGTAGCTGAGGCCTGGCCTCCAGCCTGTTGCGAATGCCCGGGCCCCGGTGCTTGCTCTTCAGCAGAGCAGTGGAGATGCCCCTGCTTACCTCCCAGGCAGGGCGGGAAGCCCAAGCCAAACACAGCGCCGATGTCCCCCTCCACAGGGTTGCTGAGAATGCCCTCCTGCAGGCACATGACCGCCTCGTTCACAAACCGCGTCACCAGGCGCATCTGGATGTCCTGGTCAGTGGAGCTGCAATGGAGACACGTGCAAGGGTCACTCGGGTAGCCAGGGGACTGGGAGCAGAGGGGGCGTGCAGGAGTCATTCATAGCTCACTGAATGCTCCCAGCCACACTCGTCTGCTGGCCTGAGGCAGGCGGGGAGGAGCCAGGAAGGGATCAGGCTGGAGCAGTACCGGAGCTAGGTCAGTGTCAAGACTGCAAGACCCAACACAAGAGCATGCTGGTCCCCAGCAAGGAAGGCAGAAAACAATCTATCGCAGGGTCCCAAAGCCCCAGGAAGAGCCCAACATGGACTCTGGTAACACAGGCCCACCCCAGTTCTCAAGGGTGCCGGGCTTTCCTGAAGCAACACTGCCCTGCGGCCTGAGCTACCAGCTACAGCCACGGTCCCCTGCCCTCAGCTGGCCAGGCCCAAAGGCTCTGTCAGGAACATAGTGAGTTGATCTTGATGGGGCTGGGTGCCAGGGCCAGGTCCACCCTCTCGCCCCACAGTCTGCGGGGCTGGCATGCGATTTACTTACACTGCAGGGTTGGCTGACAACTTGAACCTGGCCAGGAGCTCATCCATGCCAGAATTGAGGCTCCTGTTCTTCACGCCTTCCTGGTAGATGTAGAAGCCCTTCAGAGCCTTGCGGCCTGCCAGGGGGAAAGGGCACTGGTTACAGGGCAGGTTACAGGGAGAAGCAGCAGCCTCCTGTGGCTGCTGGGACATTTGTCAAGTGACCAGTGGCTCACAGGCAAGTGAGACTGTGCCAAGCCCCACTGCTCCCTAGGAAGCAGCTCCCCTGCTCTCTGGAGAAGGAAGTCAGCAATGTGGGCTTGACCACTTGGTGGAGAAAGAGCAGTAGCTCCTGTAGCAGGGCAGGGGTGGGAGACAAGGGAGGGGGTGCAGATGTCTGCTGGACCTTGCTAAGAAGTGCCCAGCACTGCCTGTCCTTGCTGCCACGAGGGCTGGAGGCCCCAAGACAGAGTGACCCGCTCCCACTGTCCCCACAACCAGCAGACCTGTCCACACTGGTCCAGTCAGCGCTCAGGAGCACAGACATCACAAAGGAGGACAGAGCGACCCGAGCACAGCCCGCAGGCTCAGCATGCTAATACTCCAGCCGGGGCTTGGGTGCAGCTCCTGCTCCCAGACTTCAACGAGGCGCCTGCCT